CACTGTATCAGCCCCAGAACCTTGGGCTATGCTGACTGCACCCTTCAGATCCACATCACTTCCTCCTTTGGGTTAGCATAGGACAGCCTGCCCAGGAGGAGCGTCCCTGTGAGGCCTGAGAGCAACCCTCAGGAGGAGACCTGTCAGTGGCCTGTGTCAGACTGCCCAGGGTGGGTTTCTCAGCCGAGGCCACTCACACTCCCTCTCTCCTGCAGGCCTGTGGTCCCCATCTGTCCCCCTGCCTCACTTCTGTCTGTGGTTTGATCCCAGTCATCATGCCTGGGATGAGCGAGCTCCACAAAGAGAGTGAGGCCAGCCTTCAGGACCCAAGGGAGGTTGAGAGCCCAGTGGAGGCACTGTTCATTTAGGGGGAGGAGGAGGAGGAAGCGGAGGTGGAGGAAGAGGAGGAGATGTTGTATCCATTTCCCCCTCTTCCTCGCTTTCCTCCTCCTCTTCTATCTTGTTCCTGGGCACCCTGGAGGAGCTGGAGTTGGCTGATGCTGAGGCTCCTTGTCCCTGCCATGAGCCCTCAGGGTGACTTCCCCTCACCCTCTGCCATGGCTGCTGCTCCATGGAGCCAATCTGAACATGAGACCTCCAGCAGCCAAGACGAGGAGGGACCGAGCACCCGGCAGGACTAGGAAGGTGCCGAGTCCTCGCACCCAGACACACTGCATCTGCTGGTGGTGGAGCTGGTACACTTCCTGCTCCTCAAGTATCGTACCAAGGGGCTGACCACGAAGGATGAAATCCTGAACATGGTCCTCAGAGAGGATGGGTACCACTTCCTTGAGGCCTTTCACCAAGCTTCAGAGTGCCTGCAGCTGGTTTTTGGCATGGATGTGAGGGAGGTGGACCACACGAAGCACACCTACATGCTAGTCCCCACCCTGGGCCTCAGCTGCGATGGGACGGTGAGTGATGGGCACACCATGCCGAAGACTGACCTCCTGGTGGTGGTTCTAGGTGTGATCCTCCTGGAGGGCAACTGTACCCCTGAAGAGGGCATCTGGGAAACTCTGGATGACATGGGCATATATGCCAGGAGGGAGCACTACATCTATGGGGAGCCCAGGGAGTGCTGACCCAAGTGGGTTCAGGAGGGGTGCCTGGAGTATCAGTAGGTGCCCCACAGTGACCCTGCTTCTGTGAGTTCCTGCGGGGTCACTGGGACTATGCAGAGACCAGCAAGTGGCACGTCCTAGGGTATCTACACAAAATCAATCAAGGGGCTTCCAGGTCCTTCCCACTCCCATCTGCAGAGGCTGGAAGGGAGGAGGAAAGGGGGCCTTGAGCCAGAGCAGCAGTCAGGCTCCTTCCAGGCTCATGTCTAACAGCATGTCCTGGGGGCAGGAGGGGAGACTGCTCCTTCCTTCCATGATTGAAGAGGGAGCGGTCAGCCTTCTCAGTAGTGAGGGCCTGGGCAAGTTGAGGAGACACAGTGTGTAGCATCTTTAGGTTCCTTCTTTCCACAGTGACATGGAGATTCATCTCTATTTTCTTTAGGAATTTTTCAAATATTGTTTTTTTCAGCTGAAGTCTTAATAAACTTCAATATCTAATTTTGTGAATGACAATGATCACACATGTATTAGTACTCACCCAGTTTAAGGATAGGAGTTTTGCTGTTTTGTAAGAGAGACTGGGAACTCTCCTATTTTATTTTGTGAATAAGCTAAAATTTCATTGGAATAGGAATTTTCTTGGAAATGGGAAAGAACAATAAAATTGATGGAGTCAAGAAATAGAGAAATTGGGAATTCTCTGACAATGCAGTGGGGGCCCAGGTTCAATCCCTGGTTGGGGAACTAAGATCCCCAAAACTGCGGGGCATGGGGGAAAAAAGTAAAAGGAAATAGAGAATTAAAAAAAAAAGTTAATTCTAAAACCTTAGGTCATCTGTTATTCTGTAAAACTAAAAGATTTATGTTTAGTTGGATTTGCGTTAGTTATTAAAGAAATTAGGATATAATTGGTCTGAGTTAATAAGTACCTTGCCTACTGGCTTAGTCTCACCCAGAACCTCACAGAGCCTCTGCTCTGTGGAAGGCCGTGTTAGCAGTGGGGACAGTAGGAGAAGCAGAACACCCCCCACACCTAGAGCGATGGTGTAGGAGCTGCAGTCACATGAGGAAGATGGAGAGATGTCTTCTAGTCCACACAACAAGGCAACACAGTGTGAGGTGGTGGGGCTCCAGAAGGAGCACTCAGTGCCTGAGGCAGGTTGGTTTGGGGCTTTGGGAAGCTGGGTTCCTTCTGTGAAAGGTGATTTTGATCAGGCTGTGTGGTAGTGTTGCCGTAAAAAGGAAAACATGAAGAATGAGTTTGTTTTGTCCCCCTTTCCTGAGAAGAAAGAATGTAAAGAGAACAGTGAGCAAGCCTGAACATTCTTAGTTTTTTGTTTTTTTAATTTAACTGCTCCTAACTCTGCATGTCGGAAACTAAGGTTTGCTTTTCTGCACCCTAACTGTACAGGAGCTATGAAAGTGTGAAAGTCGCTCAGTCGTGTCCAACTCATTGTGATCCCATTGACTGTATTCCATTGTGACCCCATGGAATTCTCCAGGACAGAGTACTGGAGTGGGTAGATGTTCCCTTCTCCAGAGGAGCTTCCAAACCTGGGTCTCCCACATTGCAGGTGGATTCTTAACTAGGTGAGCCACAAGGGAAGCCCAAGAATACTTTAGAGGGTAGCCTATCCATTCTCCAGTGGATCTTCCTGACCCAGGAATTGAAGCGGGGTCTCCTGCATTGCAGGTGGATTCTTTACCAGCTGAGCCACAAGGCAAGCCCAAGAATACTGGAGTGGGTAGCCTATCCCTTCTCCAGTGGATCTGCCTGACCCAGGAATCAAAGCGGGGTCTCCTGCATTGCAGGTGGATCCTTTACCAGCTGAGCTACCAGGGAAGCCCACAGGAGCTATACTTCACGTCTAGTTTTCTTTGACTCTATGCTAAATACATCGTGTATCTGGTAATTACCCTTACAACTCCCTTCCTCTTGTAGTTACAGATCAGAAAGTAGGCCACAGTCACCGAACTGCCAGGCTCAATTACTGGGTTACTGACGCCAGTCTAAGACTGACTTTGAAACAATGCAAGAGGAAGAAATCAAGATCCTAACGCCTTTGTTCCTCATCACTGACTCCTGACTGGGAGCCCTCATCTTATATCAGCCCCTAGATTCCCTACTTTGTTCCTCTCTCTGCTGGCTAAGAATTAAAACCACCTTTCTATTGCCTGCCCACTCTGTCTCTATAATTTTTACCTTTGGTGGGCAGAGAAGGCCAACATTTTGGCTAGCAACATGATGGAACTTGCCCGAACACCTGCACAGGTTCCCTTGGGCTACTTGATAGCCGTGACCTTCATGAGGGGCAGGTATCAGACAAGAGATAGTGGGAGGACAAGGACAGTGGGAGTTTTCTTTATAAAATCTGGCTAAGATATGCATAATGCACCACCCTTCATCTTCAAGGAGGATTCTGAGTTGTGTGAATTAAGCTTCACAGCAATTTTTATGGCTTTGGGGTCTCACCACCTAGGAGAGCCACTCCATCAGTTTAAGAGACCAACTGCCAGTTTCAAAAACGATCCCCATTAAAATCCTACAGGGAGAGTGAGAGTGGTAACTGAAATGTCTTCAGCTATGTACCCCGAGACTGAGAAGACTGTGTGCCAACTCAAATTCACTCATGTGTCATTTGGAACCTTTCGAGTGTATTCACTCTCAGGCAGAAAAACCAGGTGTCTACTTGATCCTGATCAAAGCACACTTTCTCTTTTGGACCCAAGAGATTCATCTCTGAGTAAAGAGGAACTTCTAATGGACATGTCCCATTTCAAATTTTCTTCTCACCCATAAGACACCGTCGAGAGGTCTGGTTGCTGCCACCGCCGAGCCTAATCACAGCACCTCCCACAGAAGGAACCCAACTTCCCAAACCCCCAAACCACCCTGGCTCAGGCACCAACACTGAAGGGATTCTCCTGGAATACCACCACCCTGCCCTGTGTTGCCTTGTTCTGTGGGACTAGGGGACATCTCTCCACCTTCCTCATGTGACTGCAGCTCTTAGATCATCACTCTAGGTGTAGGGGTGTCCTGCTTCTCCTAGTGTCCCCACTGCTAACAAGGCCTGTCACAGAGCACAGGCTCTGTGAAGTTCTGTGGAACAAATGAGCCAGGGAGCAAGTCCTTATTTAGTAGGATTAGTTTTCTCCTACTTTCTTACTGGGAAAATCCAAATAAACTTGAGATAGCTTAGTTGTATAAAATGACAGACAAAAAGTATAAGAAGCAAGATTTCAATATAGTCACATTTTATTTTCCAATTCTTTCACCAAGTACATTAATGCTAAGCAAGTTGACATTTCCAAAATAGTTATAAATCTAATCTCATGTCACCATGTTCAGGGTCAAAAATTAAAATGGGAGAGTTCCCAAACTCTTTTAAAAACCAGCAAAACTCCTGTCCATAAACTGGGTAATTACAAGTACATGTGTGTTCAATGTCATTCACAAAGATAGATACTGAAGTTTATTAAGCCTTACGCTGAAAAAACACATTTGAAAAATTCCTAAAAAACAGAGATGAATTTCCATGTCATCACAGACAAAACGAACACAAAGATGCTACACCCCGGGATCCCCCAAGTCGCCCAGGCCCTCACTACTGAGAAGGCTCACCACTCCCTCTTCAATCACAGAGGGAAAGATCAGCCTGGCTGCTGCTCTGGCTCAGGGCCCCTCTTCCTCCTCCCTCACACCCTCTGCAGAAGGGAGTGGGAAGGACCTAATAGTCCTTCAGTTGACCCTGAGCAGATACTCCATGAATTTCTCCTTGCTGGTCTCTGCAAAGGCCCGGGGACCCCACAGGAACTTGTATCGAGTAGGGTTGCTGTCAGGCACCTGCTGGTACTCCATATACCCGTCCCACACCCACACTTGGGTCAGCAACTCCCTGGGCTCACCAAAGATGGAGTGCTCCTTCCCAACACACAGCCCCATCTTGTTGAGTGCTCCCCAGATCTCCTCCTCAGGGCCGTGATCCCTATTCTGGAGCATCAGGCTGAGGACCACCACCAGGAGGCCAGCCTTGGGCAGGCCCTGCCCATCTCTCTGCATCAAATCACAGGTGAGGTCCAGGGAGGGAACCATGATGTAGATGCGCCTCCTGGGGTCTACCTCCTTCACATCCACACCAAACACCAGCAGAAAGCACTCAACTGCTTGGCAGAAGACCACCGGGTAGTGCTCCTGGTTACCCCTGAGGACTGTATTCAGCAATTCGGCATAGGAGGTTAGCTTCCTGGCTCGATACTTGCAGAGCAGGAACTTCACCATGGTAGCCACCATTTTATTCACAGCTTCCTGGGGCAAGGCCTCCACAGGGGCTGACGAGGAGACTGGGGGGGAGGAGGCTGAGGCGGATGCAGCCTCCCCCCACTCAGCCGCCAAGAACTGCACCTCCTCTGGGTCCTGGGCCTTGCCTGGGTCCTGAAGGGCTTCCTCAGGCTTGCTCAGCTCACTCATCTTGACCACGAGCACGATACCTGGGATCAAACCACAGACAGGAGTGAGGCAGAGGACATTGGGGAGCATGGGCCTCGGCTCAGAAATACACCCTGGGTGGTCAACACAGGCCACTTACAGGTCTCCTCTTGAGGGGTGCTCTCGGCCTCACAGGGGCCCTCATCCTGGGCAGCCTGACCCCTGGCTGCCCGAAGGGGGAAGTGCAGCCAGCACAGTCTGAGGTTCTGGGGCTGACACAGTGGGGACTTTAGGGCTTTATGGAGTCCCTTCTGTTCTGGGATGGGGAGCCTCTGGTGCTCACTCAGGGCACCCTCCTCACCTTGACTCCTGGTACTGCCTGGACCTCCTCTGTTCTGTGACCTCTGGACACAGGCCTAAGACTTCTGCCTTTGCCTCCTGGTTCCTGGAGCCTCTATGAAAAAAACAGAGGGGGCAACTTGGGGGTAGATGGTGGCACAGCCCTGGGCTCTGAGGTCGCCCCAGTTGTGGGGGAAATGGTTCCCTTGTAGCTCCTTGTAGTGCCCACCTTTCTCCGGCCGCAGCCTGTACCCTGCCCTTTGGGGGCCTGCAGAGTTACTGAGAACAAGACCCGAGTCTGAAGGGAAAGTGCAAAAAAGCACATGCAGCCGCACCTGACCAGGGCCTCCCGCGGGTCCTAGGCTGGAGAGATGCTCGGTCCTCACCTCATGTCCAGCCTGGACTCCCAGCACTGACCACAAGGGTGGGTTCAGCTCTACCTGGGGAGTCCAACATCTGAGGACCTGAAGGCTCCACCCTCTGCCTGAACACCTCACCTCCCGAGCCCCTTGAGCCAGAAGTCGAGAAACTGCACATCCTGCTCAACCCGCTCTGGGGCCTCTAAGACCCCCATCAAAGGCAAGGATCCCTCCCTGTGTTGGGGTCTAACCGCCTCAGTCCTTCCTTGCCTGGAGTCTGGATTCCAGGCAGGACCCGGAACTGGCCCGTCCTCCCTTTTGAGGCCCCACCACTCTCACCCGGTTCCCAGTCATGTGGCATGAGGTCGTCCTGCCTGGGGAGTACCTGGGTCCCGTCTGTTCTGGGGTCCGGCTCCCCTCACTCCTCCCTCAGAGTCCTCACCTTGACTCCCGGTAAGACCGGGGCTCTGTCCTTCCCCAGGTCGAGGCCCAGCTCCTCACACCAGGTCCCCCGTCTCGCCGAGACCCGGAAGTCAGAAAGTCAGGACAGGCGCAGTGTGCTCTTCTCACCCCAGGGTCTCCCAGGGCTGATGACAGGGGCGGGGATCTGTGGGGCTCCAGCAGTCCTCCCTGGGGGTCCCCTCAGTCCTCCCTCAGGGCCTTTCCTTGTCTCCAAGTAGAGCTTCAGAGTCTCTCCTCTCCCCAACTGAGGCCCCGCCCCTTATACCCCTCTCTGAGACCCGGATGTCAGGAAGTCAGACCATGCCTGTTCTCCTCCTACTTCACGGCCGCCAAGGACCGACAACAGAGACAGCTTTCTCTGAGGTCAAGGGCCACCTAGTCCCCCCTCAGGGACCTCAACTTGTTACCCCACAGGACCTGGAATTCTCCTCTCTGCCCACCTGAAGCCCCGCCACCTATAGCAGGTCCCCAGTCTCTCTGAGACCCTGATGTCAGGAAATGTGGCATGTGCTCATCCCACCCTGTGTGCTCCCTGAGCCCACTCTGTGTTGGGGTCCAGGTTCCCCTCAGTCTTTCCTCAGGGTCCTCACCCAAACTTCTTCAGAGCCTACTATCCTCCCCTTCTCCTTCTAAGGCCCGCCCTTTATATCAGGTCCCCAACCTGTCAGAGACAGGGATGCCAAATTTAGGGACACGTTACCAAGTGCTCATGCCGTCACCAGGGATGACTAGGGATGACAGCAGGGGTGGGATCCATCGGGTCCTTGTGTCCTCCTTGGGGTCCGTGTGTCCTCCTCGGGGTCCTTGTGTCCTCGTCAGGGTCCTCATCTTGAGCTCTGGAAGGTACAGGGTGTCCCTGACTTGACCCAAGGCTGGACCCTCACACCAAAGCCCTCATTGCCCTGAGACCACAGCTTCCAGAGCTGCTGGTCTCCTGGAGCAGTGGAATGGCTTCTACGAAGCACATGTGAGGTGCACACTGGAATATGAGAGCCCGTGGTGCTGGGGTTTCACCTTCCAGGGACTGGACAAACTCCACATCTGTCATCATTATTTCCCCCACTAAGTAAGATACATGGCCCTGGAACCAGAGGGAACAGTGACCCCACCTACCACCACTCCCAGTGACCCACAATGGAACTTGTGCTTCTGGTCCCCCGTGTAGGTTCTGCAGTTCCTCAGCGGGGCTATCTAGCCGTTAGCCACTTCTAGCTATTTACATTTGACTTTACATTATAGTATGATAGAAGGCCAGGCCCTGGGACACACTAAGTACATTTGAGTTCACACTGCTCAGCCTCATGTGGCTACTGGTCTCTCTATTAATGGTGGTGACAGGACATGCTCTTCCCAAAGGGAGACGGTTCCCCCAGGAGATATCATAACAGTCCTACTGACCTATGAGCCATGGTTCCCACCTGGTGCTTTGTGCTCCTCTCTGCAGAGGTTCAGGCACCAGTTCCCCAACCACATGTCTCCTCTTCTCCTGACCAAGACCTGCCATGTGATGAAGGGAAAGGGAGAGAAGGATGGACCCCAGAAGGAGGGCAGAGATCGAGGACTGTGTGGTCCTCATGTGGTTCTAGGTTGAAGCTCAGCTCCAGACTCCTAGGCTGCATCCTTGCCCCCTGCTCCCAGGGATCTCCACCCTCCTCAGTCCATCTAGCTGTGCCACCCCAGGATATCATCTGCAGTGCTCAGAATCCAAAATACTCCTTCCTCTTCCACCCTGTCTGCATCACAACTGTCCTGCAGGGCTCTAGAAAGAGAGTAGTTCTCCTAAAAACACCCACCCTCTGACTGTGCCACTGGGAGAAGCCCAGTTCCTCACCCTTGGCCCTGAATGGACGGCACATGGACAGATCTTCCATCAGTCAGTCAGGCAGGAGCCTTTCCTGTTTCTTGGGAGCTCAGCCCCATGGATGTGGCACCACCTGCATCCAAAATACCTTTCCATCCCACCCCAGGCATCAACACAAATAGGAAGCTTTTTCCCCAAACAACATGCTATTGTTATTTAGATGAACCTATTTTTCTGTCTTTGTATTAAAATCTTGGTGAATTATTCATGTATTTATTTCCAAATTGTTGTAAGTTTACATAAGGATCCCATGTTCCCTGCAGGCAGCATCCAGGAAGCAGAGGGAGAAGAGTTGTGGACAAGGACCTCTTCCTTACTCTTCAGTGTACTCGATGCTCAACAGACAGCAGCCAGTAGGTATAGCTTGTGATGAAGACAATTCCCTTCCTGTGTTGAGGAGTTTCTGAGAAAGCCAAATGTGCCTTGAATTTCCATTTCTAGTCACCACTCTGTATCATTAACCCTTTCAAATGCAAGATCTGATTTAGCTTCCAAGGCTTTTGTGAATGGCAGGGAGGGGTCCCCCCAACTCCCTCTAATGCTCTTTCTGCCCTTTCTTCTGCAGTGATGCCACCCACAGTCTCAGAAGGCTGAGGATGTGCCCATGCCTCCTGATGCCAGGACACAGTCTCCCTCTGGGAGTTGCAGCTGCCTCCACAAGATGGAACTTGCCTGAGCACCTGCACAAGGTGCCCGTAAGCTCCCCGGCAGCCATGAGCTTCATGAGAGGCAGGTATCAGACAAGTGACAGAAAGAGGACAGGGACAGTGGGAGTTTTCTTTATAAAATCCAGCTAGGATATGCACCTCCCTTCACTTCCAAGGAGGATTCTGAGGTGTGTGAGTTCAAGTTCAGTGCAGTTTTTATGGCTTTGCGGCCTAACCACCTAGGAAAGCTGACCCATCAGTTGAAGTGTCCAACTGCCAGTTTCAAAGAACCCCATTAAAATCTTACCAGGAGACTGAGGGTGGTAATCAAAATGTGTTCAACTATATTCCCTGAGATTGAGTAGACTGTGCGCCAAACCAAATTCACTCATTTCCCATTTGGAAACTTTTTAGTGTATTTAGACTCAAGCAGAAAAACCAAGTGTCTACCTGTTCTGACCAAAGCGCACTTTCTCAGATCCAGGAGATTAATTGGAGAGAAGATGAACTTCTAAAGTGCATGTCTGATTCCAGACTTTCCTCTCACTCATAAGACCCCATCTACAGTCTGGCTGTTGCCACCACTCAGGTTCATTACCATCATCTCCCACAGAAGGAACCCAGCTTCCCAAGGCCCCAAACGACCCTGGCTCAGGCACCAACACTTGAGTGATCATCTTGGAGCCCCACTGCCCTGCCCCATATTGCCTTGTTCTTTGGGACTAGGGGATGTCTCTCCACCTTCCTCATGTGACTGTAGCTCCTAGACCATAGCTCTAGGAGTGGGGGTGTCCTGCTTCTCCTAGTGTCCCCACTGCTAACACAGGGCCTTCCACAGAGCAGAGGATCAGTGAAGTTCTGTGGAATAAAGACAGGACTATTAGTGTATGGGGTGGAGGACTATGACAATAAAGGAGAACTATTACTCTGTTAGTTCTCTAATAGAGAACTGTTACCCTATAGGGGAAACTGTTACTATGACATTAGAGAGGAGCTAATATTGTTGAAGAGGAACTATTACTGTAGTGGGGGCAATGACAATAGAAGCAGAGTAATACAATTAAGGAGGACTCTTATTACAGAGGCGGGACTATTACAGTAGAGGAGCACAGTTACTGTAGAAGTGGAATTTTGAGAATAGAGGGCTATTGCTCTAAATACTATGACATTAGTGCTGGTCGTTCAGCCGTGTCCAACTCTTTGTGACTCCATGGACTCACCGCATGGAGCCTGCCAAGCTCCTCTGTCCATGGGATTCTCCAGGCAAGAATACTGGAGTGCGTTGCCATGCCCTCCTCCAGGAGATGTTCTCCACCCAGAGAGCCTCCCAGAAAGGTAGGAAAGGACATAGATTTATGGTGGAACCAGCCTGGA